GGCTGGCAGGAGCGCGGGTGGGGGGCTGGGGGTGTGATTCATGCATCACGCTGCCACTGCCGCGACGTTGGCCTGTCGCCCCCTCCCTGGTCCCATCGTGTGTGCGCGTGTGCGCGTGTGTATGTGCATGCGTGTGTGTGCGTGTGCGCGTGTGTGCGTGTGTGTGGAGGGGGTGGGGAGACTGGTCAGAGCTGGGCTGGGCCTCTGGCCGCCGAGGTCGGGGCGCCCCGCGGCGGAGGCTGAAGGCTGATTCCCGGCCCATCTCCCGTCCCCTTCTATCTGCCAAGTCCGAGGTGGGTTAACACAGCCGGCGTTGATGTGCACCTCTCATTCAAATGTCTGTGTGGGACACCGGAAAAGGGGGTCTGCCGGGCTGGGAGCCGTCCAGCTCTGTGCCAGCGTGCCTCTCTCCACCTGGCTGACTTCACAGCCCGCCAGTCCCCTGCCCCTCTGACTCCCAGGCCACGCTTCTCCCTTCCCGGCGGCCTCCTGGGAGATGCCCGGCAGCCAGGGTTGATGGGTCCTGGCCACATCGGCCTTGATTTTGGGCCTGGGGATGGCTCGATGCGCCGGTGGCGGGCAGCCGGAGGGTCCCGCCTCCGGCGTCCCCCCTGGAGGCAGCTGATGGATGCCAGCCGGCCTGGTGAAGGCCTGGGAGGCGGCTCGGGTGCACCGCACAACCTCCCCCCATCGGTCTACTGGGCATGTTGCAGGTCTGCCCAGGCCCACGCTTCGGCTCCATGCCCCTCGCCCCCACGTGCTTGGAACAAAAGGGGCTTTCCTGAGTGGGCATCAGCGCGGGAGGCACTGGCCCTGGGCCAGGGGACGCTGCCGCACGGGCACAGCCCCACCGCAGCCGGTCCTCGCGGGGCGAGGCTGGGAGCAGCGGCCATCGTCCTCATCAGGGGTGGCCCTTCCAGTTTGGCTGTCTCGGGGGCTTCGCTGGGCCCTCCTTCAGATGCTGTCCAGGTGGCCTGTGCTGGAGGCAGGCCGGCCACTCAGGGCCGGGGCTGCTGGGAGCGGTGGGCACGGCTGCCCAGCCGTGCCGTGAGCCCACCGTGGCCTCCTGCTGATTGAGAGCACATGTGCTGGCCCCCTGTGCCCTCGCCACAGCACCGGGCAGGATGGGCACAGGAGAGGGAGGACTCAGGAGGTGTCCCCGTGGGCGGCGTGCCCAGGCCCAGGCTGGTCATCGGCCGCGCCAGGACTTGGGTTCAGATCTGTGTGGCGCCAGCGTGAGGCCCCGGGGGAGACCTTGGCGTCGGCGGGGCCTTTCTCTGTGCCCCTTCCTGTTGCCCCTCTAGGCCCAGGACGGAGGACTCGATGCGGACGCCCCGGGCCCTGCCTCCAGTCTGGCGAATTTGGGAGAAGTTGAGTCAAAGTGGCTTTGGGGCCCCCCCACTCCCCCCGGGCTGCTGGGCGGCCTGGGCTATTTTTAAAGGCCTTTGGAGACGTGGAACAGTTTCGATCAGGGAGCGAGTGTTACTGGTACTTTTCCTCTGGGCCACGCTCCTTGGGGTGGGCTGGGCAGAGGCGGAGGGGGTGCGGGGCTCCCTGGCCCACGTCGGCCCCCCAGAGTGGGGCCTGTTGGTGCGTCGGTGCTGCGTGGGTGTGCAAGTAGCTGCTGACTGAGGCCTCGGGGGTGGGGGCAGAGAAATCTGGGGCTTGTTCTAGGGTCTGCAGAGGGGAGGGGGTGTGCTCTGTTCAGGGGTGCTTGTATGGGGGGAAGGGAGCTGAGACGGGGGGCCCAGTGTCGGGACCGCCGGGTGGCTTGCTGCAAGCCCCGGCTTCTGAGCCCGGCCCTCCTGGGCCTCCCAGTGTAAGGCCTGGGCTGGCCTGGGTATTTGCATCCTTGACATCACGCAGACCTTGGTTCCCAGGGACCCCACAACTGGTTCTGGGGCATATGTGAGCATCACCTGGTGTCCTCAGCCAGCGCGCCTGCCTCTGTGGGGCTCACTGTGCTCAGGAGCCATCCCCGACTCTCCGGGCATCGGCCCTGGGGTCTGTGTGTGAGAGCAGCAGGTCCAGCCCAGAGCTGTGAGGCCCCGCCACGCTGCCGCTCCGTCCCTCGCTGCCCAGCACTGCACGGCAGGTGTCTGTCCTCTGTGGATGAGCGCGGTAACCCTCAGTGGCCACCACCCACACCTCACCCTTGCTGGCCCCGTCCTCATCCTGCAGGACCCTCCCGGACCCCCAGCGGGATGCCAACAGCTGGCCACTGCCTCCCAAGGTGTGGACGAGGCTACTGTCATCACCCTGTGCGCCCGCCACGCCTGGCCTAACTGGACCTGTTACCTCACCCAGCACCATGTCCCTGGTACCAGCTCCCGGGGGGGAATTTGCAGGCTGGCCGGGGCCCGCCCCATGGCGTGGCGGGCGCTGGTCAGGGCCGACGCTGGGGGCAGCTGGCCCCTTCATCTTGTTGACCACCTTCCCTCCCCGCTTCCGCTTGAACAGGCCTTAACTCCCTCTCTGCGGAGACACCCTCGTACTTCGGGGCTTCGCAGCCGGCACCCTGGGTGTAGAAAGGCGGGCTCTTCGCAGGCTCTTGTACTT